TCACATTTCCGTCCATATCTATGCTTCTAGCCAACACATCGATTTGAATCGAACACCATTCGAAAGCAAATTGGCTGGTGCCGCAATTGTTTCCTACCACGCAGCAAAGCAAGTGGCGCAGCCGCTTGTCTAACTTACTATTCAAACAGAATCCGTCTGTGAGTCTGTGAGTCTGTGTGTCCGCACATCGTGTAGTGTGTTCAATTTGTTACGGCTACAGGGCAGACGGTTTGTTGTAGGAGGTTGAAATTTGCACACCTTCTAGGTGATAGAGCGGGTCAGCGCCTTTTCTAGGTTTCCACTCGCTGGGGTGCACGGTTCGCGCGTGGCGCGCGCTGGAAGAACGCCAATGGAATTTTGATCGGTTCGTAGATCTTCATTGAGAGCCGGGGTCGACAAACTTTGTGGACTAAATGCATGCCGATCGGTGGCGGGTGCCTCGCATTGGCGGATGGGCAAGTTTTTAATTTGAATGAAAAGTGGCGAGGGAATGTGTTGATTGTCGCTAAATGGGTACTGTTTGTGATAGGAATCAACAAATGCACCGCATTTGCCGCAAGGCGTCACATTGGTCACAAGGCGTCATTTTTGCCGCACATCGCACAGTTTTGTCAAATATGGTCCGATAAAGGTACAATTTGTTGCCAGGATGCATGCTCAACCAACAGGTAAGATGCGCCGCGTTTGCCGGAATGCGCAACAATTATCTCAGGGCTTCATTTTTGCCGCAAATCGCACAGTTTTGTCAAATATGGTCCGATATGGGTGCAATTTGGTGCAAAGATGCATGCTCAATCACCGGGTGAAAATGCACCGCGTTTGCCGTAACACGCCACATTTGTCACAAAGCGCCACTTCCGACAAAATCGATTAAGGGTAATGGAATGGCACGAATAGGAGCGGGGCTAGAAGATCTTTTAAATTCTGATTTTTAAAAACATTTATTGGATCCAATTAATATGTGACCTGACATGACCCAGTGGTAGGTAATGGTAGTGGTAGGGGTAGGGGTAGTGGTAGTGGTAGGAGGTAGGGGTAGGGATAGGGGTAGGGGTAGGGGTAGGGGTAGTGGCAGGGGTAGGGGTAGGGGTAGTGGTAGGAGTAGTAGTAGGGGTAGGGGTAGGGATAGTGGTAGGAGTAGTAGTAGGGGTAGTAGTAGGGGTAGTGGTAGGGGCAGTGGTAGGGGTAGGAGTATGGATAGTAGTAGTGGTATGGGTAGGGGTAGTGGTAGTGGTAGATGCGGTGGTAGGGGTAGGGGTAGGGGTAGTGGTAGGGGTAGTGGTAGGGGTAGTGGTAGGGGAAGGGGTAGTGGTGGAGGCAAAAGTTGAACAGTGGCCCGGGCTGATCCCATCGGACGAGAGGTGACCTTTGTGACCTGGCCTCACCCAAAGTGACCGGGGCTGACCCCTTTGACCTGTCTTGACCCCGTATCAGCCAAATTTCATCCAACAAAGGCCTCAGAACAGTTCTTTTTTAAATTCTCTTCACATATCCGTCCATATCTATGTTTCTAAACGACACATCAATTTGAATCGAATACCATTCGAAAGCAAATTGGCTGGTGCCACAATTTTTCCTACCACGCAGCAAAGCAAGTGGCGCAGCCGCTTGTCTATCTTACTATTTGAGGAGGGTGCGTCTGTCCGTTACCGAGGTCCCAACTTGGTGGTGCTTTGCGTGGACTACAGGCCAGACCGTTGCACCTAGCCCGGTGAAATTTGCACAACTTATAGATCAAGGATGCGCGACGTGCCTTTGAGGGGTCTCAGCTCGATCGGATTGATAGAGAGCGCGTGGCGCGTGCTCAAAAAGTGCAAATTCGCGTCATAGACTTTACATGTATAAATCGGCGTGCGAAATCGGGCGAAAACGGCCAATTTTGACCGACACGGGTCCAGTTCCCGTGCAATATCTTGGTGACCAGGGGTCCGACCGGCACGGGGAAAACAGCATCGTGTACAGAATTGAACGGGCTATTGAATGGTGTGCAATGCAGAGGATAGCACGCGCCACGTGCACCGGAGAGGGCACTTTTATTTGAAAAATTGCGGTTTTTGAGGGATTTTGGAATTAATTTTATTTTTAGGTGACCGTTAAATGGAGCGAGTTGAATCAACGCCTATTTGCAAGAGAAAGGTACCGCCTCTCATATAAAAGTTGTAAAAAGCTGATTGATCCAAATCAAGGTGGTGCAACTCACAGGAGAAAATGGTGTTTGTCAATTTTGTGCCACTCTATTAATCACACGGGGTTTGCTGCATAACCTGATACCTTTGGCAATTGAATATGGTACCATTGGATAGAGCATTCAATTCTGTCCAATATTCACTCTTCATTTTTGCATGATTAGCAACAGTATCCTTAAAAATGTAAATGTTCCAAATCATTACATTGTCATTTTTAGCGAAATTCATCGATGGCCCTCAAAAGACTTCACGCCAGTTTTCGAATCATTCTAAAGTAGAACGCATGATAATACGACACGGGCACCTCGATGCGATGTATCTTTTTGTTTTCTTACAAAATGCTTGGCCGTCAAAAAGCAATCGAACGAAATGGATATCTACCAACCAAATCGACACAGACCAACCCAATACCAACGGGTCAAAAAATCTCCCCTTCGCGTTGCGGAGCACGCGGGTAACCCTAGTGTATAACTGTTTTGTGCATCTATGCTTGAGACGTACCGTTACAACTTTTCCTCGTGGCGGTTTACTTTTTGGTAGACATGTTTAAAACGTATTGTCTTGTGTTCTAATGCATTTAAAAAGCAGGCTGGTGAAGGAGGCAGCAGCCCCCGAAAGCTACCGATTCGTATACATTTTACTGGTGTCGAATATTTTTTTTTCTGAATATTCTTAGACAGCTGGTAATCCATCCTGAAGAGCCTGGTTATCAGCTTCCTAAGGCTTTGACTTTTTTGACGGCCCCTTTGGCGCCACACAGTTTTGGTCACTTGGTTCACTCCTGAGGGTCGACTGCAAAGAGGATGAACTTGCAGTGACTGACTCCCGAAAAATAATCGGCGTCACTTTCTGACTGTGCGCCCAGTTAGCGACAGACATCGGCTACAGACTGGCTGCCTACAGACGCCTTCAGTCGTCCCGAATTTCCTACGCGCTGGCTGAGTAAATACCTGTACATTTACCTGAGCCCACCGAAGTTAGCCCGTCCGCCGTTGTTACCGCGCTCGCCGGTGTGCCGGTGTTAGAGGCGAGTATTAACGGTATACCTGCTGGTTTTTCACAAGATAATACTTTCATCGGCCTTGCTTTCCTCTGACAATGCAGGCTGCTGCGACGTTACGCTGGCGAAAATGCCACTTTTTCGGCCGGCGCAGTTTTCTCGTAATTTTATGCACGGCACGCTCGGCGTTGTACAGCACAAAATGACAGTGGCGTTTTTCGGAAAATTATTCAAAATCACGCTGATTTATTTTGAAAACAAAAACGAATCACCTGGGGCAGTTTTGCTACTTTTTAGCTAATTCACACTAGCACATACTGAGAAACAATTAGAGCCTAGAGTTAGTTATATCATGCAGTTTTCCTATATTGTCGCCGAGGTGCACTGAAAACTTTTTTACCATTTCCTGAAGGGTAAACCCGCCATAGCATGGTAGCTTGACACACAGACGTTTTTTACCACCTTCCAGATGGTAAATTTTACTCTTTCATGAAGAGTAAACTCGCCAGGGAGGGGTAACATGACACACAGACGTTTTTTACCATCTTCTGAATGGTAAACTCTTTTGATTTACTCTTGTCTAGAGTGTAACATTTTTTGGGTTACACTCTTTGAAAGGGTAAATCTTAAACGGAACCCTTTTCTAGGGAGTAACGCATCATCTACTCTGTGCTTTACCCTCCTACAGAGAGTGTATTCTTCTGGCCTACCCTTTGTCACATGGTAATGTTTACTCTTTCCTTTAGTGTAAACCCCCCAGAGGATGGTAACAGACTCACAGACGCTTCCTTCAGAAGCTTCACGAAGCTTCTGTTAACCGGAGCTCACCAACTAAAAAAACATGCTTCAAGAGCAACAATGTATATTTGGCTTCCGTACAAACAATACGAGGGGCACACCAGCAATGAACATTGTGAGACTCTCCACTTATGCATACGAATTTATACGAAGCGTTCAGCAATGCACAAGCGCGGTAAATAAACACCACGATACAACTTGAATGCACTTTGAATGTGAATACAAGACATTCAGCGCCCTCATGTTGGATAAGGCACAGCGCACAATATTTGAAGAGAGCGACGGCGTTCCTGGGTGGTCGCCCGTATGCGTGAGATAATGAGACTGGATCACTACAGTGCAAGGCTTTTCCAAAGTCACCAACAAAATGCATAAACTTGTAGCATCACAACAAAATTAATGTACGTACTCACAACCTAGGCCACGTGGCCGTGCACGGGGTCCTGTTAACCAGGTCAAATTAGCACCACTCAACGGCATGCAATGCTCTAGCACATCGGTACTTACAATAAAATGTCCACAGAGGCTCTATAGGCGATGAACAACACGCAAGCACAATCACCAACGGCCACGCCGCGCGGCACCGACACTGCTCACATCCGCTCTCGGAGACCAACGGCCGAAAACTGACAGATGCGCGCGGCCTTCAAACCGCAAACGGCCGATCTCGTTTCTGATTGGCTGAGTGATTCCATTTCAAATATCATCTTCACGAGGGTAAACAAGATCCACGCATGAAACGACTATCTGTACACGAGTCACGATACCCAAAAGGAAAGAGTTTTCGTGATGTTCTGGATCGCGAGAGTAATATTGATATTTACATGGTAATAATACTCTTCGCTGGCGAATAAGTTCATATCAACCACGTACCGTTACTATGCACATAATGGTAGCAAAGAGTTACCCTTTCAATATACTCTTATCTTGCTGGTTTGATGAAAATGAATCCTCCAGGAGGTAGTAAAAAAGTTTTGAGTGTGGGTGCGGCCGATGTACCCGGCTCTCGCCGGCAGGCTGCAGCTGGACGCCGCGCTGGGTATGTACGACGCAGTGCTGCACATCGGCGACTTCGCCTACGACCTGCACGACGACGACGGCAAGGTGGGCGACGAGTTCCTGCGCATGGTGGAGCCTATGACGGCGCGCGTGCCTTACATGGTCACCGCCGGCAACCACGAGAAGCACCTGTGAGTGTGCACTTGCAGGCCGACCCCCGTACTCACGCACACAGACACACGCACGCACGCACGCACACACACACGGCGCGTCACCACACAGTGCTGTCCCACATTATCAAAGGAACTCGTAATGAGATTGCCAGCCATATCAAGGAATCTCATGGAACAACCCTAATACCGAATCCAAAACGTAGTACGAAATGCTTAAGTTTATACAATGGTCGCGAGGTTGTTTTCCTTCGGCGCCACGCAGAGTATTTGTTATACCTACAAGTGACGGCCACACCTAAAACAAATCACTGAAACGCTGCAGCGTTACCTGACGACAGTGTCATGACGAGATAACGACCGCTCGCAGGAACTTCTCCGAGTACAAGGCGCGGTTCACGATGCCGGGGGAGGCGGAAAACATGTTTTACAAGTTCGAGATGGGTCCGGTGCAGTTTGTGTGCATCAGCTCCGAGTTCTACTACTACCTCGAGTATGGCACCCACATGGCCATCAACCAGTACAGCTGGCTCGACGCCGTGCTCAAGGTGAGACGCTGTGCCACCGACAGGTTCCCGTCAATTTACTGGCAGTATATGTAGTGCACATTGCCTAGCCGTTCACCGGCGGCCGACCCAGAGCTGGATGTGGGCTTTATCGCCAAACGCAGATGAGTCGATAGACAGCCGGAAATGATAACAATGGCGGAATACCCGTAGTCCCAAGCAACCACAGCTCACGATGTTCACGTTTGAGGCCAATAGCCCCGGGAGCCGCGCGCTGCGTCCCTGGTGTTGGCCCGTGTACTGTATTGACCCCACCCCGTCTGGTACCGACAGGAGGCCAACAGGCCGGAGAGCCGCGCGCTGCGTCCCTGGTGTTGGCCCGTGTACTGTACTGACCCCACCCCGTCTGGTACCGACAGGAGGCCAACAGGCCGGAGAGCCGCGCGCTGCGTCCCTGGTGTTGGCCCGTGTACTGTACTGACCCCACCCCGTGTGGTACCGACAGGAGGCCAACAGGCCGGAGAGCCGCGCGCTGCGTCCCTGGTGTTGGCCCGTGTACTGTATTGACCCCACCCCGTCTGGTACCGACAGGAGGCCAACAGGCCGGAGAGCCGCGCGCTGCGTCCCTGGTGTTGGCCCGTGTACTGTATTGACCCCACCCCGTCTGGTACCGACAGGAGGCCAACAGGCCGGAGAGCCGCGCGCTGCGTCCCTGGTGTTGGCCCGTGTACTGTACTGACCCCACCCCGTGTGGTACCGACAGGAGGCCAACAGGCCGGAGAGCCGCGCGCTGCGTCCCTGGCTGGTGGCCCGTGTACTGTACTGACCCCACCCCGTGTGGTACATACCGACAGGAGGCCAACAGGCCGGAGAGCCGCGCGCTGCGTCCCTGGCTGGTGGTGTTCGGCCACCGGCCCATGTACTGCTCCAACTTTGACGACGGAAACGACTGCCTGAGCAGCGCCGACCTGCTGCGAGTCGGTATCCCCGAGCAGGGCATGTAAGCGACCCAGCGCGCAGGCCACGCATGGGCTCAATGACGGGCCAGGGCGCGACACTGTCCGGGTACAGCTCATCGTAATTCGTAGATAAATACTGAAACAAAGAAACAGTGAATTAGACATACCTCAGCGAATATATAATATCGTAGACGAATACTGATAATTATATTCCTCGGGCGATATAGCCTAGTAGCTGGTGCGCCCTGCCTCTCTAAATGATCATGAACTATATTCCTCGGTAGGAATTACGCTGAGCCATGACTGTTCGAACCAACAGGTGCTGTTTAAATGTGTGCTAGCTCCGCTCTCAGCGGCGTGCCCCCGTTGCAGTCCCGGCGTGGAGCCCCTGCTGATGGAGTACGGGGTGGACCTGGCCCTCTGGGGACACGTGCACGCCTACGAGCGGCTGTGGCCCGTGTACGGCAGCGTGGTGATGAACGGCACCGCCGAGGAGCCCTACACGAACCCGGGCGCGCCGGTGCACCTCATCAGCGGCTCGGCGGTGCGTCCGCCGGCCTATACAATATACATAGTATACACTATAGCTGTCGCGCCGACACGGCGTCAGAGACGGGGTCCCTGGTTCACTGGAAATTTGTTCCAATCTGCACGGCAAAGCACGGTGAAGTGAAATCCCAGGACCTTTTTAATGAAAAAAAAAGCTTGTTAGGGAGCATGCCCCCTCAGCATCTTAAAGGTAGTGTGCCAGCTTTCCTGGACCGTATGGAGTTAATGGCCCAGTTAAGGAGAACCGGATTTTTAGAACTTATCCATGCCTTCAAAACTCATGGAAACGTCTTAAATTCTTCAAATTTTGAGTACCCCAGTGCGAAATTCGCCCCGACGGGTTGTCGGTCGTACCCCAACCACATTTCACACTACTATGAACAACAAATGCACACACTGAAATCGCTATTACCGATAGGCTCATCCAATCAAGTTTCGATAAACCCGTTCATCATCATCTCCTGCAGTTTCGAACACGCCTGTTAGGTGGTGCGGTAGACCGCGCCCAAAGCCAGGGCCCCGGTAACGCGAGGTAGCCGAGTCGGGGCAGCGTGCGCTGACCCAAGCCGGGGCCGCGCGTCCTCCCGGTGTCATGTGATAGCCCGGGGCTGCCCGCGGGGATGCGGTAGACCGCGCCCAAAGCCGCGGCCCCGGCTTGGGTCAGCGCACGTTGCCCCGACTCGGCTACCTCACGTTACCGGGGCCCTGGCTTTGGGCGCAGTCTACCGCAATGGCTTCTCTTCTGCTCATACTTTGTGGTGCGGTGGTGGTGTGTCGGGCCGCGCGCTCTGACTTCGGCCAAGAAAAATGCGTCAGCTGATCATTGTCATTTCTGCCACTTTCATGTGGTGAGATGGGGTCATAACTTTAGAGACGGCTGTTTCATATCAATTATTTTACATAAAATAATATTTCAAACCATAAATTAATGTTCGACAGTCAAATTAAAGAAACAATACCAATACAGGCTTACAGTTTAAATTCGACATTGTGTTGTCTACGATTAGACAGCTGATAACTCATTCCCGTACGTCGTAACTCTATAATGACCTTTGCTTATTGTCATATGTGCGCCGCATTCGTGATTGTTGCCGACGCCTGTTTGCAGCTCGGCCCACTACAGTTCTTATACATATCGAAAAACCGATAAACTTTTAGGCGAAAAAAGCACTATTTTAGGCTCATTTTTGATTTTTTTGCGATATTAGGTAAAAACAGAAGCTTCTTATCCTAGGAAAAATAAAATGGGAAATCATTCGAAGGTGGCACACTACCTTTAACCCTCGCATGTGTAGGGGTGGGGGTCGGATGGACCCCTCCCTGATTTTTCGCGAATAACTCGCGCAAAAAGCGGCCGATCGCAACGAAACTTTCAGTACCCTCGAGTTGATCAATTTTACACCTACTCTGAAAATTTCATGACCCTGACCCAAGTGAACTTTGATCTGTGACCTACTTCTCGAGGCCATGTTTGGCCGAATCGCGATTCGGCGTGCGTCGGCTCGCATTAGCCGCGCGTTTGCAAGCTTTTCGTGGTTTCAAACGTTCAAACATGTGATTCGATGCTGCTCCCATGCATTAGGGTGGATGTCAAGGTCACCTGAAGGTCAAGTCAGTCATTGACCTTTGGTGATCTCGGTTCACTTTTCAGAGTTTTACATGTTTCTCGACTAGTTTTTTTTAGCTAAATTCGAATTTAGAAACCATTTGAACATTTACGAAGTAGGTTTGGTGCCTTCGTAACATGTTACGAAGCTATCAGAGGCGGTTGACACCTACTACGAATACCCGCCACGACTGGTTGACCTGACCTGACCCGACCTGGTCTAAATGCTTAAAGACATCATCTGTGATCAAAACTAACACGATATTCGTAATCAGCACCCCGAAAAACCCCATAGCAGTCACACTTTACGACTTCCTAACAGGTCCCATTTTCCCGGCTTTTGGGTCATTGACTTAACATGGAAGGTCAACCAATGAACTAGGACCTTAAAATTGGGTATCATCGGCTTCTTCTCGTGACGGGCAGCACGCTCGTTTATTCCGCGAAGCTCTAGCTCGATCAGGGGCCAAACAGCAAGGGGGTCCAACCGACCCCACACCCCTGCACATTAGAAGCTGGCAAACGCCGCACACATGCGAGGGTTAGACTACTTTTCTGTCCCAGCCAGTGTTGTGGTCTTACTGCCATCACCGAACAGGTACAACGCTATCAGGACGTGAGAGCTGAGCCTGCTACCCCTGAGCGAGCTCTGACTCTGTTGGTGATTCAGGGCGCTGCGAAGCACGGCTCGTACCCAACGGAGACGCCTAGGGAGTACTCTGCCTACCGGTCCATCGAATACGGCTTCACCCGGCTCACCTTCCACAACAGCTCCCACCTCAACATCGAGCAGGTCTCCGAGGACCAGGTGAGCGCTTCCGCCTCAGCAGGTCTCCGAGGACCAGGTGAGGGCTTCCGCCTCAGCAGGTCTCCGAGGACCAGGTAAGGGCTCCCGCCTCAGCAGGTCTCCGAGGACCAGGTGAGGGCTCCCGCCTCAGCAGGTCTCCGAGGACCAGGTGAGGGCTCCCGCCTCAGCAGGTCTCCGAGGACCAGGTGAGAGAACACACCAAAGCAGCTCCCACCTCGCACTCAGCGGAAGAAGAAAAAGATCTTGCAAACGAATGCATTAATTAATCCTCTTCACTTTGGTATATATATTGAGACGGGTTACACAGCACATTGGGTGGACGCGTTTCGTCTAAATGACTTTTTCGACACCCTCTCGGAAATTAAAACAATACAAACACACAAGAATAAAACTAGCACAGCAGTCTCACACTCTGTTGAAATACAGCATGCTAAGAATGCGCATTACTACAAATGATAACCTTCGATAAAAACTATTTGTCGGTACACAGTTACTGTTACATAATCATCGACGAGAATAAAAATAGCACACTTATAACGACTCGAACGGTAAGTTTTTTAAGTCAAGTTTTTAATGCTGAACACTGCTGCTGATTTTGCCCACTTAATAAACCCTACCCTGGTATTGATCGTATCGTTCGTTGTAATAAATGCCGCTTCGGTCGCTCTCCGACATCCCTTGTTCCCACAATTCGCTAACACTTTCGCCCCGTCCCAATTTGGCAAATGACTAGTGGAATGTGCGTGAACAACAAAGGCACTGTGGTCGGCGTCGTTTCGTATGTCTCGCTTGTGCTCTTTTAATCGTGTTTGGATTCCCCTACCAGTTTCTCCAATATAAGATTTGTCGCAGTTACCACACGGTACCTGATAAACTACGCTAAGTTCTCTATTTCTAGAAGTTTTCTTTTGAGTTAACTCACCTATCTTCTTTCCAGTGGTCAGTGCCACCTTGAAGCCTGTCGTTTCGAGTTTCTGAGTGATGCTTTCGGCTACTTTTGAGTTCGGTATTGAAATAAATCGTGTGTCTTTCTTTCGAGCTGTTTCGTTCCTCGTTTTGTTTCGAATGTCTAAAGCCTTCTTTTTCAAACGAATGAGAAGACCCTTTGGGTACTTCAGCTTCATGAAAGATGAAAAGATATGCCGGATTTCGTCATCGAGATATTCTTCGCTGCATATCCGGAAAGCCCTTAAAAAGAACCCCAAGACTATCCCACTTTTGACCCTCTCGCTATGGCCTGAAAAATAATGAACGTAGTCTTCCTTATTTGTAGGTTTACGATACACTTTGAATTTTGCATGACTACCACAGATGAGTATGTTCAGCACAGCGGGCTAGCTATGGGATCGCCTCTGAGTCCGGTGGCTGCTTGCCTTTATATGGAGTGGCTAGAAAAACACAGGTACCAAAATATCATGGGTGAAAATGTATTGTGGGTGCGATATGTTGACGACGTCTTAGTTGTAGCGCCAAAAGACATCGACTTGAAAACGAAACTTGACGAACTGAACGCAGTTGACCCAAATATCCAGTTCACTATAGAAACAGAGAGAAACGGCTCCATTCCCTTCTTAGATACCGAAGTAGTACGAAGTGGTAGTCATGCAAAATTCAAAGTGTATCGTAAACCTACAAATAAGGAAGACTACGTTCATTATTTTTCAGGCCATAGCGAGAGGGTCAAAAGTGGGATAGTCTTGGGGTTCTTTTTAAGGGCTTTCCGGATATGCAGCGAAGAATATCTCGATGACGAAATCCGGCATATCTTTTCATCTTTCATGAAGCTGAAGTACCCAAAGGGTCTTCTCATTCGTTTGAAAAAGAAGGCTTTAGACATTCGAAACAAAACGAGGAACGAAACAGCTCGAAAGAAAGACACACGATTTATTTCAATACCGAACTCAAAAGTAGCCGAAAGCATCACTCAGAAACTCGAAACGACAGGCTTCAAGGTGGCACTGACCACTGGAAAGAAGATAGGTGAGTTAACTCAAAAGAAAACTTCTAGAAATAGAGAACTTAGCGTAGTTTATCAGGTACCGTGTGGTAACTGCGACAAATCTTATATTGGAGAAACTGGTAGGGGAATCCAAACACGATTAAAAGAGCACAAGCGAGACATACGAAACGACGCCGACCACAGTGCCTTTGTTGTTCACGCACATTCCACTAGTCATTTGCCAAATTGGGACGGGGCGAAAGTGTTAGCGAATTGTGGGAACAAGGGATGTCGGAGAGCGACCGAAGCGGCATTTATTACAACGAACGATACGATCAATACCAGGGTAGGGTTTATTAAGTGGGCAAAATCAGCAGCAGTGTTCAGCATTAAAAACTTGACTTAAAAAACTTACCGTTCGAGTCGTTATAAGTGTGCTATTTTTATTCTCGTCGATGATTATGTAACAGTAACTGTGTACCGACAAATGACTCGGTTATAATTGACAAGTTATAACCGATTTTTTCGCGACTCTTCGAGCGTCTCGTCTACTGGAGGCGGCCCGGGATCGGGCCACCGGCGAGCACGGGCTTACGGCGGCCGGGCGGCCGGGCGGCCGAGGCCCCCAGGCGGCTGGGGCGTCGGCGCGTTGGCAGCCTGTGATTGGTGGAGCGGCCGGCCGCTCAGCGGTGTTGGCGCGGGTTTCGTTGCGGCCGCGCGCTCACTTTGGTTGAAGACGTCCTATCGGTTCGTTGACGCGGTGCTCTGTTGTTCTCGCGTTCTTTGGTGCGTCTGAGGGAGGACGAAGGTATGTGTTCGTTTCTTTTTTGGCGGTTCTTTTTGTCGTATAATTGTGGCCGTTGAGATTGTTTGTCTTTTTGGTAATTTTTGGAGGTTACCTGGGCAGGTTTGGCATGGTAACTGGCTGGTCTTTGGTTTAGAGGGGGGGTCAATGCGAAGGGGGGGGGGTCTTCGGGTAGGGTGGGTTCGGACAGGGCTGGTTCGGGCCGGGGGTGTCTGTTAATGGGTATCACTGACGGGGGTAATTAGTGGTTATGGGTATGGGCCGGGTCTTAAGGCTATTTTTTTTTTTCGTTTTTTTTTTTTATGGGGTAGGGGCGTGGTATTATCGGCGGGGGCTTACTCCTACCGATATTCATGGTAATTTGTTGGGTAGGTGTAGCGGCTGGAACGCTGGACCTGGTCATTCTGCGCTCTATTGGAGCGGAGTCAGCCAATTCATTCGCGGGGTGGCAGCTCAGGGTGGCGGACCTGGCCGGGTCAGATGGTTATGTGGTTAACCCCAAGGGCCGGTTTCCACCAATGTTTGGTGGCGGTTGAGGGGTGTTAGGGCTGTCGCCTCGTTATGCCTGGTGTTGGTTGAACTGTGGTTCCCATACGGGTGAGCGGCTTCTGGCGTAAGGTTTCCCACGCGAGAGCACCCCGCGGATGGTTGGCTGGTGGTGATGTTTGGCCCTGTCAATGCGTTATGCTCCGCTCATTCATAATGGTTGCGAGATGCTAGGGTCTTGATATGGGTACTTGGTTCGGGGTGGAAGGTTATGCATTTATTCTCCTTTCCCTGAGGGAGTGGAATGTGCCGGGTACGTTTGGGTCCTAACATGGTACCTAGTTCGGATACTTTTCCTTGGTGCCTTGGGGGGGGGGGTCTCCCGGGGGCGGTGGGGGGTGAAATCAGGGAAGGGTTTGTAGGGTTTGGGGGGAATCTTAAGCACGTGTATTGGGGAAATGGGGATTTTCCCATCCAGATAGGGGTTAGTGAAGGGCGGTCTTTGACTGGCTCACGTCCCTCCTCAGATGAGGCTTTTAGTGCTGGGGTCCAGCCACGCCAACACCATGCGGCGGGCGTTGGCCACCGTGGGTCACCGCGGCGGTCATCATGTGGCCGCGGTGGGGATCGGGGGAGCGCGCCTGGGGTCCACGAGGGACCGCCGGCGACTGGTGCGCATCGCTGAGGAGGAGCGGGCGGAGGCGGTGCTCCTCCTTCTAGGCGGCAACGACCTCTGTGCTAGGGATTGTGACCTGCGAGAGATGGCAAGGCAGCTGATCGAGCTTGGTGGGGAGCTGTGCGGGGCCGGCGCCAGGGTTGTATATTTTTTCCCGTTCTTGCCCCGCCAGGTCGTACGGGGGGTTTCTCCGGAGCTCTATGAGACGAGGAGGGCGGCGGCCAATAGGATTTGGGCGTCCCGGTTTCGCGGTCCGCCGGTGACATTTGTCAATATGCCGGTGGATGTGGGGATGATAGGTCGGGATGGTGTCCACCTATCGGGGAGGGGGCAGCGAGTGGTGCTGCGGGCGGTTGGTAATATACTAAAAGAGGAAGCCTAGGCCACGCTTGTTTTTCATACGCCCGGGAGGGGGTGGGGGGAGGGGTGGGGCAGGGGTGGCAGGATTGGGATTGAGGCGGTTTCTAGGGGGGGGGGGGCTCGTCTCTGCGGTTTTTCTGGATTCTGGTCCAGGTGTCTTTTATGCAGGTGAGTGGGCCGTGACGTTTTTTCTTTGTGAGGGGGGGGGGTCTCTAGCTTTAGCTCCGTCGGTGTGGCGAATGTTTTAAAGATTTTCCGCGTTAGTGTTCGCCAATGAGTTTTGGTGATTACACGAAAGGTTTCGTTACAGGCCCATTCAGCCACGTCTGTTACTCGAAATGTGGAGAGCCGATAACTTCATCGTGAGGGATGCTCCTTTTTATGCTACATGTTTTTTCTTCTCCCCCTTTTTTGGGATCTGTCTCCCTTTTTTCTCAAGTAATTTAAGCATTTCTCTTACGTGTTTTTTTTTTCTTTCATGGTTGACGGAGCGGATGGCACCGGCTCGGAAGCGGCGCCGGACCGGCGTCGCTGAAGACACACCGGCGACCCGGCGCCCACGGCTGGGCCGGACTGTCTCTCCGGAGCCGGCGCCGGCTACGGAGGTGATCCCGACTCAGCAGCCTGCTACGTCGGCCGAGGCGACTCAGGCTTCGCGTGACTCCGCCGGGACTGCCGGAACGGACCTGCAGGAATTACAGCGCATCGTACGGGAGGCGGTAGCCGAGGAGGTGGCACGGGCGATGCCAGGTATGTCGTTCCATGGGCATGAGCCAGCCCCGTTTTTGTCCGGGGAGGTCCCAGGGGAGCCCAGTGGAGAGGGTGATGGAAGGAAGGAGATCAGTCAGTGGCCTGTGTCGCCGTCACTGCGGCAGAAAATTTTGGCTCACAAATTTGTGGACATGAAAGCGCTGCTGGGCTCCCACGAGCTCCCGGGTGGTGGGGAGGAGGAGCAGCTCGTGGTGGCTGAGGATGGTAAAATAACATGTCGGGCCCGTCAGGGAGCAGCGATGTCTGTCACTTTGTGGGCGAAGGCTTTCGCCCGTTACGCCACCGTGTACAGCGCTGAGTATCCGGAGGAGGCGGCCAGCCTTTTCGGATATATGTCCACGGTGCTCAATCTGTCTGGCCAGGGACTGGGTACAGCATGGAAAGACTACGACGAGTCATTCCGTAAAGCTAGAGAGCTGGACCCAAGTCGGTACCCGTGGCACCGCTCGTCCCCTACCATCTGGATGGCGTCTGTCGCGCGGGGCCTCGGTTCCGCACCCATGAGCACGGGCAGGGCAGCTCAGTCGGCCCCGGCGCGGCGACAGTCTGGATTTCGGTGCTGCTTTGCATTCAACTCCATGCAGGGCTGTCTGCGCCCCAGCTGCACGTTTGGCCACCGTTGCATCAGGTGTGGAGGGGATCATCCTGCCCCTCGATGCCGCGGGAGTGCTCCGCCAGGCGGTATGCCAGGACGAACGCCGCAAGGGGCACCGGGGCGCTGATCATCAGTTTTCTCCAGGGCTACAGACGACGGGCGTTTCGGACACTGATCCGGGCAGCTCGGTGGTCTGCCCGGAGTTGCCCATCCCCACGGCTGGCCCGGGCAGCTCGGTAGTCTGCCCGGGACAGGCCGTCACCACAGCAGACCCGGGCAGCCCGGTAGTCTGCCCGGGGCATCCTTCTGCAACGGCCCAGGGCAGCTCGGTAGTCTGCCCGGGGCAAGCCAGCTCCTCCGTGGACCCGGGCAGCCCGGTAGTCTGCCCGGGGCATCCTTCTGCAACGGTCCCGGGCAGCTCGGTAGTCTGCCCGGGGCAACTCATCTCAACGGCCCAGGGCAGCTCGGTAGTCTGCCCGGGGCAAGCCAGCTCCTCAGTGGACCCGGGCAGCCCGGTAGTCTGTCCGGGGCATCCTTCTGCAACGGTCCCGGGCAGCTCGGTAGTCTGCCCGGGGCAACTCATCTCAACGGCCCAGGGCAGCTCGGTAGTCTGCCCGGGGCAAGCCAGCTCCTCAGTGGACCCGGGCAGCCCGGTAGTCTGTCCGGGGCATCCTTCTGCAACGGTCCCGGGCAGCTCGGTAGTCTGCCCGGGGCAACTCATCTCAACGGCCCAGGGCAGCTCGGTAGTCTGCCCGGGGCAAGCCAGCTCCTCAGTGGACCCGGGCAGCCCGGTAGTCTGCCCGGGGTTTGCTCATTCTGCGGTGGCCTCGGGCAGCTCGTTAGTCTGCCAGAGGGTGGAGGCCGGTGGGGCAGTTGGGGGTACTGGTTTGGTGCCGACGAACAACGCGGTTTTGTTCTTCCCGCCTGCTGCGTCAGGGACTGCGTCCAGGAGCCCAGGATCGTCCGTTCCAGGCGGGACGCCGGCGTCTACGAGGAGTCATTTGTGTTTTCCCCTCACTGTGGGGAGTGGGAGGGGTCAATCTGTTTTTCCTTTTGTAAATGTGGCCATGCTCGATAAACTCCTTCAAGGCTATGATGCGGCCAAGAAGAGGTACCTCATGGAGGGGTTTGTGCATGGGTTTTCCTTGGAGTGTGATGTGTCAGTGTCTGGGGATTGTGGGCGGAATTTGTCATCATGTGACATGGCGCCAGGGCAGGTGGATAGTTACCTTGCCAAGGAAATTGGGTTAGGCAGGGTAATTGGGCCGTATAGCGCTGTCCCGTTCGACAGGTGGAAAATTTCTCCGGTGGGCCTGGTACCGAAGGCATCCGCAGGCGAGTACAGGGTCATTCACCATTTGTCTTACCCCTGCGGTGACTCCGTAAATGATAGCATTCCCCGGGAGTGTGTGTCTGTCAGTTACGGGTCGGTTGACGACGCCGTGTTGTCAATCATGGAGCGCGAATCGGTCGCATTTTTAGCTAAATGTGATCTGGAGTGCGCCTACCGCATCCTCCCAATCCGCCCGGAGGAGCGGGGTCTGCTTGGTTTTCGCTGGCGAGATAAATTATATTTTGATTGTGCCCTACCCATGGGGTGCTCCTCAAGTGCTGCGATTTTTCAGAGATTCAGTGATGCCTTGGTTTGGATAGCCAAAAAGAAATTTGGTTGTACGTCCATCGTTAACGTTTTGGACGATTTCTTGTTCATTGAGGATTCGGAGTGTTTCGGGAAGCTTGCTTTGGGGAGTTTCCAAAGGATGACTGATTTATTAGGCGTTCCGCTGAAGGCTTCAAAGACGGTGGCGCCTTGCACTTCTCTTACGTTTCTCGGTCTCGAGCTGGACACAGCTCGGCAACAGATAACACTGCCTCGCGAGAAGGTAGACTCCATGCTTTGTGATGTGGAAGCCGCGGTGCGTAGGAAGTCGATTACTCTGAGGGACCTTCAATCTGTTATTGGAAAACTCAATTTTGCGTGTCTTGCGGTTCCCATGGGCCGGCCGTTTCTTCGCAGGTTAATAGATTTGACCCGTGGAACTTTTGTGGGTTGGCACCGAATTAGCATCACCACTCAGGCTAGGAAGGACTTGGAGGCATGGAGTATTTTTTTGCGTTCCTTCAATGGACGGTCTATGTTCTCCCATCGGTATTGGGATGAAGCGTTGGTGATTGAGGTGGTCACAGACGCGTCCGGGGCCGTGGGTTTTGGGGCTATCTGTCAGAACTCGTGGTTGTTGGGTGTCTGGCCCCCGCAGCTGGTACGGGAGTCTATAGCTGTTAAGGAGGTCGTCCCTGTGGTGCTTGCTTTGCATACCTGGGCATCGCGGTTGAGTGGTCGGTGTGTCCGTGTTGTTTCTGACAATATGTCCGTTGTGTGTGCGATGAACGCTCAGTCGTGTAGGAATCCTAGATTGATGGGTTGGGTGAGACGTCTGTTTCTGTTATGTGTGCTACACAACGTTCAGGTGTCTGCTGTGCATGTCAGGTCGAAGGCGAATGCATGCGCTGACGCGCTCTCTCGGGGGCTTCCGCAGCGTTTCAGGGGACTGATGCCCGGCGCAGATCGGGAACCCACCCCTTGGGACTGGTCGGCCTTCGGCGACCTGCTGTAGTAGAAAGTCTCATGGATTTTGCTATCGCTCGCTCCACGAAGACCGCGTATGGCAAAGTGTGGGAGAGCGTAGCTTCGGTCTGCGAGTTCACCGGGAGCCAGTGGTTCCCGATGTCGGTGGGGGCTGTTTTGGACTATCTGGCCTTTCTTTTCGAGGAGGGTCGCAGTGCTTCGACCATGTACTCTCACGCTTCGGCGATCGCTTATGGTCACAAGCGTAGGGGCCTGGCCGACCCCACGGTGGATTTTCGGGTGCGGCAGGTTTTGGCAGGGGCCAAGAAACGGCGGCTCTCGATGGATGCGCGGAGGCCGCTTTCGCTGGACGAGCTGGGACAGCTGTGTGATGCCTTGTATCGATTGGGTTTGGACAGGTTGGAGCGACTGGCTTTTAGGGCAGTCTTTTTGTTGGGTTTCTTTGGGCTGCTGCGGCCTGGCGAGCTAGTCTTGGGGGCTAGCCCAGGGCACACTATACGCATGTCCGATGTCAAGCTGGCTGATGGCGAGCTGAATGTGACTATCCCATCCTCCAAGACTGCAGCGCGGCCGGCTACCATCAGTTTGCAGGCACGGCCGTCTTTTGCGCTGTGTCCCGTTCGCGCCGCTTTTGAGTTTGCGGGGGCGCGGGGTGCGGCCCCTGGCCCGTTCTTCTTGGACAGGTATGGGGTGCCGATCACGTCGGGTCGTCTGTCGACGATCATGAAGCGCGCTGCGCGGGTCGCCGGCTTGGGCGACGCGGGAGTTTCAGGGCACTGCTTGCGCATTGGTGGGGCCTCTCACGGAGCCCTTAAGGGCCTCTCGGAGCTGCAGCTGTCGGTAGCCGGCCGTTGGCGTTCCAACGCAGTCCGTCGTTATGTGCGACGAACCACCTCTGTTCTGAGTGTCACGTAAGTCTCTGCAGGTGTGACCGTGTGTTTGGTGAATCGGTGCGGGGTCAGGTCAGGTGTTTCATTTGGTTGTTGTACGTCTGCGGGTTGGTCCTCGCTTCGGCAGCTTGCGTTTTTGGTGTGTGTTTGGAAGTTACACGTACTCTGTACTCCATATCTGGTGTGTGGGGGGTAATATATCTTTGTTGGCAGCTTCCCTGTTCCCATGCTGGTTCTTCCCGTGGACTTCGCGCCGGCGTGAGGTAATCGCTTCCTTCTGCAAGGTACGTACTTAGCTGTGGAGATCGCCGATCCACCTTGGCGGTGGTGACGGCCATTACAGTTTGGCGGGTTCTGTTTCCCCCGCAGTCTTGCGCTTTTTCGCTCTGTCCCCCAGGGGCGATCACCGGGGGGGGGGGGGGGGGTCCCTGTAGTGGGCGCATTGGTGTCTTGGGGGGAGGTCTGTATTGGTGGGGGACACCATTGCGCCTCGCGGTGGGGGGAGGGGGAGTGGTAGCCCGTTAGCTGGGCAGTCTCTGGTGAGACTTGTGTTGTTGTTTTTATCCTGTGTGTTTCTCTTGGGCTGAATATACCAATAGCCCCTGTTGTACAGTTGCGGTGTTTTTATGGGGATGGCTTTGGGGTATGGATGGCGCGACAGAGGTTGGTCTGAGTAGCCAGCTAAGACCCCCCTTTTTGTTTTTTGACAGCACGAAGAGGAAGAGAAAAATGACTCGGTTATAATTGACAAGTTATAACCGATTTTTTCGCGACTCTTCGAGCGTCTCGTCTACTGGAGGCGGCCCGGGATCGGGCCACCGGCGAGCACGGGCTTACGGCGGCCGGGCGGCCGGGCGGCCGAGGCCCCCAGGCGGCTGGGGCGTCGGCGCGTTGGCAGCCTGTGATTGGTGGAGCGGCCGGCCGCTCAGCGGTGTTGGCGCGGGTTTCGTTGCGGCCGCGCGCTCACTTTGGTTGAAGACGTCCTATCGGTTCGTTGACGCGGTGCTCTGTTGTTCTCGCGTTCCCCGCCCTCCCACCACTACTTGGGGGTCTTTTTTTTACACGCATCACACTCGTAAATAAAGATGGGTTTTTTCCACAAAATGTGGTTTTTCCCCAGTTAGGTCCCCCGGTTTTTTTCTAGTTAGGACTTTTTCCGGGGGAGGACACACACGACACGGGTGTCTAGGTCGGGGGGGGGGACACCATTGCGCCTCGCGGTGGGGGGAGGGGGAGTGGTAGCCCGTTAGCTGGGCAGTCTCTGGTGAGACTTGTGTTGTTGTTTTTATCCTGTGTGTTTCTCTTGGGCTGAATATACCAATAGCCCCTGTTGTACAGTTGCGGTGTTTTTATGGGGATGGCTTTGGGGTATGGATGGCGCGACAGAGGTTGGTCTGAGTAGCCAGCTAAGACCCCCCTTTTTGTTTTTTGACAGCACGAAGAGGAAGAGAAAAATAGTTTTTATCGAAGGTTATCATTTGTAGTAATGCGCATTCTTAGCATGCTGTATTTCAACAGAGTGTTCAGTGTGAGACTGCTGTGCTAGTTTTATTCTTGTGTGTTTGTATTGTTTTAATTTCCGAGAGGGTGTCGAAAAAAGTCATTTAGACGAAACGCGTCCACCCAATGTGCTGTGTAACCCGTCTCAATATATATATTTGTCTATTACTACTCACTTTGGTATGCCAACAGAAAATGGATGATTTTCCATACGTCAGCGTCCATTTGAGTCTGTGCACAGATGAGGTCCCACTTTGGTACCGCATTGCGCTTCATTTTAGGAGCGCTATGTGACATCTCGCGCTGTCATTGGCTGCCGTGTGTCCTCAGGGAGGGGCCATCATCGACTCGACCTGGCTGAAGAAGACGGCCCACGTGCCCTACCACCAGCTCACTAGGACGGAGCGCGGCTTCCTGAAGCTGTAGGTGGAGCTGCAGCTTCTGGCGGGCGTGGAATAGAGATCGGTGCTGGTCGCTTTGCTTCAGTGTCTTTGTTCATTCGAATTCCTGCTGTTGATAGGAATATTTCGTCAATCGGACATATGTGGTCGAAAATGTTGCCTACTGATGTGCCATGACGTAAAATACACTGATTAGTGTAGAATAGGCCCTGTTTGACCCCTCCCCGTGCCGAGCCCCGATCAGGGCCATCCCGTTTATTCGTGAGTCGTGGTTGCTGGAAACGTCTCAATGAAACAGAGTTGAAACTTGACCCTGACCTTTTACTTATCCGAACCTTTGGTGTCCAGCTTATCTTGGGTCACTGACGGTCCAGGAGACATTTTGATTATATTTATCTCTATCAAGTTCATGACTACATAATTTGTAGTTTTCTGAGAAATTTTCCTAAAAATCATAGAAATTATTTCCTTTCAATTTCTCGGATGTGATGTATATGGAAGTGAAATGCAAAAGCTATGATGATTACCCAGCCAGCAAATTTGGTCTGGGCCGTAGCTGGTTTTATTTTGGCTAGCTCCGGCATTTGCTCCGGCCGAAGTACGGGCAAGGTCTGGGGCTGAACTGGAGCTGACACACGACCCCAGAGCTCGCCCGCACCACAGCCGTATCAGCCGTGCAATACCTCAGCCGTACTTCAGCCACAGTAAGCCAGAGCAGCAGCGAGGCAGCCGGACCTGGCCGTGGGGAGCCGGACTTGAGCCGTGGCAGGGCGCCGAACTTGAGCTATACTTGGCGGTCCGAAACCATATCAACTCGCGAGCGCTACGGCAAAGGCTGGCTAACCGGAATAGAGCAATATCGACCCAAACCCCGGCTCTGACGGCGTTCCGTTTATACCGGCCCAAATCTGGCATGACGGAGTTGCCCGGGCAAAACGGACTTGACCAAACCAAATTGCTGACTGGGTAAATGCTTTTGGGAGTAGGTCGACGATGAAGTACATAGGTAGATTCTCCGAACAGTGCATTTATACTGATCAAAACCGGTGCAAAGTGATGCGGGCGCGGTCCTTCTGCGACCTTAGACCTTCCTTACGTTTACCACTTACCAGATAATAAAAACGATCATTATGTACAAAGGCGGGAAAATAAACAAAACTTCAACAACAAATTGTATTTTAAGAGAATCAAATAGCTGATAACATTGTAGCTACTTATTATGCGAGGCATATCATTAAAGTCGATTCAGCGAAGTAATTTATAGGCACCCAGCAAGTCAATAAAAGTGGAGTCGTGCCAAGTGTCGGACTGCTAACATTGTAATAACATCGACACAGTGGCCAGGATGGCACTCGAGGCAGCCGCTCTCGGGGTCTGGCGCCACCATGAACACTGGCAGAATCACCCTGGCAGAGATATCTGCCGAATCCATTTTGTCTATTTAACTAATGTTTACCATCATTACTTCATGTTTCATACCTGCACATGGTTTATGGTGTGTCATTAGCCGTTTTCACGATGTGCTACCTGGCGAAGGCACCAAGCTTGATCAAATCTAACCAAATTTCTTTTACAGCAAATATCTTTATATCAAGAATTTATTTCAATATTTTCCTCGAGGATACCTTATGTATGAAGATGTGACAAATTAGCATATTAGCAGCTATAGGCTGACAAACCTAAGAAAGAACGGAGCTAAGGCACCTCGAAGCACCTAACACGTGCATCGGACGTTGGAGATAGCCTACCTGTGCTTAAATTTACAGAAATTATGTCGGGCATACTAGAAGTGATCTATAGAGGCACGTGCACTAACAACTGTTAGGCTTTAAATCCATTTTTTCTTAGTTTTGTCAGACTATAGTGCAGCTTAAGCCAAAAAAAAATAATAAGAATCAACTAAGAACCTAATTTAGCCAAATCACACCAATTGTGATCAAACGTGCCGCTGTGAAAACGGCTAAAACAATGAAGTAACTTAAAATACAAAAGGCGTATTTTATATTGCAATTTGTTATTGAAAGGTATTTTGTTAAATGAAAACTAAATCCAATAACTCATCTTAATTTTAAACTTGTATTGTATATAACTGTTTTCTGAAAAGGATATAAATAATGAGTGGTACTGAAGAAATGTACTTTGGCTCCGATATATTACCCGATGATTCGATTGACCTTAAATCAACTGATTTCACCACCGTTCGACCATTCACCAAGAGCGGAACACGAGTATAATATTAAGCCTGTAAAGCTTTTGAAAACCTGCGAAGCGATAAAAGTCCATCCCCGATCAGAAATGGGAATACTCTCGGTCTTTGTTACCGCCCTCGATCTTGGTTCTAAAACATCGTGAGAAATGTCTGTATGGTACAACGTGCATATCAATGAAATAATCAACTCCTGTTACATTAATGAGCCCATAACATACTGGCATCAGCTCGTACATGTTGCAATTTTTTTAAAATATCCCCCTTAGCAGCAACAGCTACAGGCTCCCCGAGTACAGTTATGAATCACAACGGTTGATATTTCTATCAAGTGGGTACGGATTAAGCTCGTATTCTACGTAGACAAGGCAGACCCCTATACATTTGTTTTTAGCTCACGCTTGCTAAGGGAAGGCCCACGCGCTGTGCTTGTGACGCCGATGTATGAACTCTGCTGATTCCGAGAGGCCGAGGCGCTGGTTCGGGTGACGGGGACGCGCCGCCGGCCGCCAGGTGGGCGACTACCTACAGGTAGCCGGCACGCGTCTGTCTCAGGTCGCCGTAGGCCTTGTGGGTGTCCTTGCGGATCCAGAAGTCGTCGATGATGGCGCCGTCCTGCGAACACGCCAGTCGGCCAGCCGGTCGTCAGTCACAGACGCGCCAGTCGGCGGGCTCCGGCATGGGCGCCGGAACGGGGAGGGCACCGTGCCCCCCCCTTTGCATTTTAACATTAGCCCTATGGGCGATGCATGGAAAGAATGGGACCCAAAGTCGGCAGTGCCCCCCCCCCCTTAACCCACGAGCCGCTGGGGGGGGGCATAAAGTTGCCCCCCTTTACGTTTTGTGAAATATCTCCGAAACCTGATGAGCTACGAACGTGAAACTTGGCATAGCTTCAAATGAATACCTAGGTAATGTTTGAGGAAAGTTTGGTGGTTGTAGCACCTAAGATGACGTCACAGTGACGTCATAAAGTTTTGTCGTTTTCCAATATGGACCGTTTCTGATGACGCTGAGCATGAAACTCAACTGTAAATGAACTAGACAGCACCTGCTGTCATCCTAAAACATCTAACTACACTTCCATCTAGTTTCTGACCAATATATAATCGACCCTTTATATTCGGTCCCATATATCTGATGTATCGTGAGGAATATGAGAGTCGCAAATCTATAATTTCACTTATGACGTCACTGTGACGTCATTTCAAATGGGATCGACAGGTGGACATGACGTACCTTGTCGTCGGACCTGCTGCAGGTGGACGTGACGTACCTTGTCGTCGGAGACCTGCTGCAGGTGGACGTGCGAGCCGTTGTGGAAGGTGAGGCGCGTGTAGCCGTAGTCGGAGCTGCGGAACGCGCTCCAGGCCGGCACCGTGGCGTTGAACGGGTCCACCCGCTCCTTGCAGCCCTGCACAGACACATACGGGCCGAGGCCGTGGTAAAACACGAGCGTGAATATAATGTTGAACAATGTCAGCCATTTCGATCCACGACAAACAAATTTCCTCTATTTACGCGCCCGAGACGTAAGGGCACCATCGCGCGCCCGCCGCACCGTCTCCTCACTTCTTTTGCTAGATCGCCCATGTCGAAACGATGCTGTACCGTAGGTCGTTCACGTTGTTTTTGGGCTCGGAAGACTAGGTTTTACATGATATACCAGCTCAAGAGCCCATGACATGGGCGTCGAAAGCGGGTGGGGGGGGGACAGGGAGGACGCGTCCCCCCAGTCGAGGGATCTGGGGAGACGTCCCCTAAAAAAAATCACTGATGAATGTTTTAAAATCGCTATTTGCAACGGATATTCACAATGCAGCTAGGTTAACAGAAATCAAGCTTATTTGAAAGAATGCTGATGCTGGTCAGTTCGACCGTACACAAATAAGACCTCAGGTACTTCATCAGCTTATGACATTCGGACCGGTCAGAGACCGGTAGGCAAGGGCAGCGCCACAGGGGAGGGGACGGAGGGACTTCTCCCAGGCCACGGAGTGGAGGGTTATCCCCTACCGTTTTGTTTATTGCTTTCGGTCTAATGCTTTTAAATGCTTTTTTCTAATTCAAACACATAAAGGGTGCGCAAAAAGTTCTGACCCAGTTCTGTACTTCGATAAACCAATGCAATCGGAGTGGATATTATCAACGCTAACACCAAATACTGGTTTGCATTATCAAAGCAGATGCTTTCACTCGCCTCATGCGCGCTATAACCCCCTTACCGGCAATGACCTTCTCCACACGGAGACGGAAAGACTTGCATGTCTTGATGATGTAGGTGGGGTCCTTCGTCTCCCACATCTTCATGATGTGTGCCTTCAGGGCTTAAAATTGGGATCTGACACTCCCTGGAGCTCATCTTGCAAAACGCTCTAGATGCTCATGTATCATCAACGCTATAGGCCTGACAGCTCTTCCCGCGAAACCTTTTTTTGTCGAAAACGGCAAAACATGACGTCAGTCTGACGTCATTTGCGGCCAACCTATCATAGCCTTTGAAAAATTTTGGTCACAATGTGCAAAATTGATGCCCGGGAGGGTACTGAAAGTTTGGTGACGATCGATCGGCGCAGCGGTTCTGGAGATAGGTATATCGAAAAGTCTGAAGGGGGGGCAAAAATTAACCCCCCACCAGGGCACGGGTTAAGAGTCTTGAGGCCAGAGTGCTCAGCGACCAACAACCAGTGGTGAACCCAGGAGAGCAGGAGTGGCGGATGTGCGCCTCACATTTCACGCGCCCTCTGGGGGTCTTGGATTTCCACGCCCTGCTGGGGAGGGGGTGAGAGGGCGTTTGAAGTTTGAAAAAAAAACTTCTAACTCGCCTCCTGGGTCACGTAACAATATGCGAAAGGCGGCGTTCGAAAGAGCGTCAAAAATAATGACGAAACGATTTGGTCACGTTTTTGGTCAGGTCAAAGGTCAGGGCACCAGAGTTTGAAGGCCAAATTTTGAATTCAAATTTCACTGATTTACGGGTTGAATGTCGACACTTTTAAAGAAGCCGACGCATAACTCAGGAACCAATAGAGTTACAGCGCTACAAAAAGCACAATCGATATCCTTAGCGCTCTTTCGGAATATTTCTCGCAGATTTGACCTATCGTCAACGGTTTTGCCTGCAGGGGCAAAACTGCCAAAATAGACGATTTTTGCCGAAACAGTTTTTCTGCAATAACTTTTGACGCAAGCCTTGCACGAGCTTACCTTTACCGGCACCGTGTTCCTCTCATCAAAACACATAGGATGAATAACAATTTGACCTTGAAAGGTCAACTTGAGAAGTTGACCTCAGGTCAAGGTCATGACCTGACCGGAAAGGGTCATGGTGCATATCAGTCGACCTGTATCGTCGAGTTTAACACTTCTTAGGCGTTTTCATCGCTCTAGCATAGCATGCATCTATCAAAGGTTATTCGCGAAAAACTGTTAGATAGATACCTACCATTCGTGACCTCAGGGGCATAAACAGGGGGTCACGGGTGCCATTTTCATGTTCAGTGCGTCAACGTTACTTGTAATTATGTGTTTGAAAGTGTTTAGAATGACTTTCGTCCAAAAGAAGCGCCTTTGAATTTTCTCCCAATTGGGAGAAATCGGTGACCTTGGGTTACCGATATTAAATTCCGAGATACGTAAACATTTTGTACGTACTTACATAGGTAGGCTCTGTTGCTACCTATGTAAGTACGATCGCTGAGAGTTTCAAAGCGATCGGTCACTCGGTGTAGCTATGTCAAACATTACCTAAAACCTTTTATGAGGTGAGGTCACTTGAAGTGACCTGGTAAACTGACCTTTAATGACCTTGGTTTGAAATTTTTTCAACAACAAGTGTAGAATTGATGCATGATAAGGTGTGCCAAAAACGGCGGTGGCCGTTTTTTGAGATATTTGTGAAAATCACGGGAGGGAGGTATTCACCCCCCCCCCCCCCCCCCCAGCAGGGCGCGGATCAATATAGGCAGAGGACGGACGCATAAAAAATGAGCTAGGTACACTGTAAGCATTGGAGACAACTGTGTTAACTGGATGCACAAATTAGCTGATAGGTGTGCGCCAGTCCATTTCAAAATAAAGTGACTTTTTCTATGGGTAAATCTTTGTGGCGCACCCAAAGCGCGATCTCGCCGTCGATTGGCTCTAATTGACCAATAACTATTCAGAGGACCAATCGAATAGGAAGCTATGGCCCACGGTATTCCTCCGAGATACCACAGTGACATTGCGTGTTCAATGTACGAGTATGTACATACATGCGGCTGATAGACAACCCTGTGTTACCGGCCGACGACTCTACAGAACGACTCGCTCCCATGGTAGCAACGTGTAGCGACGCGATGGCCAAAGGTACGCACATTCCGAAATGGCCTGGTGGGATTCATTGGAAAACGGTTGCCTCCAGGAATGGACACCTCCAGCCACCCCACACATCCAACCACACACGCGGACGCTCCCGTGAGAACTGCGCATAGTTAGGCGCGCCTCCCCCGCTCGATGGCCGTGAATAATTGGTGCCGGCACCGGCGGCGGTCCGACAGGCCGGGCAGTCGGCGCCGACGACAGTCAGCGCGAGGGAGCGGCGGGGGCTGCCAGTGCCGGCGTCCGGCCGCGTGCCAGTTCACCGCCGCCGTCCGGCCGCACCGCCGGCGGTACTCCGGAACAGCAGAGGCTCCCAGCGGTACTCCGGAACAGCAGAGGCTCCCGGCGGTACTCCGGGACAGCAGAGGCTCCCGGCGGTACTCCGGGACAGCAGAGGCTCCCGGCGGTACCCCGGGATAGCAGAGGCTCCCAGCGGTACTCCGGGACAGCAGAGGCTCCCGGCGGTACTCCGGGACAGCAGAGGCTCCCGGCGGTACCCCGGGACAGCAGAGGCTCCCAGCGGTACTCCGGGACAGCAGAGGCTCCCGGCGGTACTGCGGGACAGCAGAGGCTCCCAGCGGTACTCCGGGACAGCAGAGGCTCCCGGCGGTACTCCGGGACAGCAGAGGCTCTCGGCGGTAGTCCGGGACAGCAGAGGCTCCCAGCGGTACTCCGGGACAGCAGAGGCTCCCGGCGGTACTCCGGGACAGCAGAGGCTCCCAGCGGAGCGCTACTGCGGGACAGCAGAGGCTCCCAGCGAAGCGGCCGACACTCCTGGCTTCGAGCCGACAGCAGACGCCCTCAGTACAGTAGCAGCGGCGACTTCCCCGCCGACAGCGGCCTTCTTCGAGAGATTGGCGACTCCCGCTGAGACAGTGCCGGCTCTCCGGGAGATCGGCGCTCCCCTCCCAGGCAGCGGCGACTCCCCCGCCGACAGTGGCTCCCTCCGAAAGATCGGCGCGGCCCGACGGTCACCGCGCCGGTCCTCAGACGCCCGGTGGACTGCAGGCGCCCCACAGAGACCGGTCGGCACGGGCGCCCCACAGAGACCGGTCGGCAAGGGCGCCCCACAGAGACCGGTGAACACGGGCGCCCCACAGAGACCGGTGGACTGCAGGCGCCCCACAGAGACCGGTGGACTGTAGGCGACCCACAGAGACCGGTCGGCACGGGCGCCCCACAGAGACAGGTGAACAAGGGCGCTCCACAGAGACCGGTCGGCACGGGCGCCCCACAGAGACCGGTGGACTGCAGGCGCCCCACAGAGACCGGTGGACTGTAGGCGCCCCACAGAGACCAGTCGGCACGGGCGCCCCACAGAGACCGGTCGGCACGGGCGCCCCACAGAGACCGGTCGGCACGGGCGCCCCACTGAGACCGGTGAACACGGGCGCCCCACAGAGACCGGTGGACTGCAGGCGCCCCACAGAGACCGGTCGGCACGGGCGCCCCACAGAGACCGGTGGACTGCAGGCGCCCCACAGAGACCGGTGAACACGGGCGCCCCACAGAGACAGGTGAACACGGGCGCCCCACAGAGACCGGTCGGCACGGGCGCCCCACAGAGACCGGTGGACTGTAGGCGCCCCACAGAGACCGACCGGGTGCCAACGGCGCCCGGAGCCAACGCGTCGGACATGCGGCGGTGCTCGGTCACGTTTTTCCGATGCACGAGTCGGCACAAACTGCTGTTTCTCGTTCTCCTGGCCGTCGTTATAGCGACAAATATCGCCGTGCTGATGTTCAACAAAAAAGGTAAGCTAGCTATCACCCCACTCACTTGCCTCAAAACGTAACGGTTAGATTGGAAATTGTAGTCATTCCACTGTCATACATTCCTTATTTCGCTCCCACCCCTACTCCCGGGAGGCAGAACCGCACATAATTGCCCGTCTAATCAATGCCCCATTGAGCATATTTAGGGTGAGACGGCTGAGAAGCCATTTTACATCCGACACACAGATTTGTGACTGAAAGCTGCTGATGTGCTTCAAAAAGATTGTGCTATGATGCCCGACGCAGATATCCGAAATCATAGTCGATAGTTAGTCT